TTGAACAATCTGTATCTGTTTTCGCCCGCAGATCTGCTGGTGGAAAATATTGCGCCTGCGGCAAAAGGTAACATAGTCAAATTCAAAGGGGTTGCCTGCATTCTTAATTGCCTGCCAGTCGGCGGGCACCAGCAGCAGATCGTCTTTTGCGATGGTGAAGGGAAGGCTGTCTTTATAGATACTGAGAAACCCCTGTCCGCAGATAGGGGCACCAATGGAATCAGCCATTGCTTTTTCAATAGTCACCAGCATGCGCCAGGTTCTTTCCTTCTCAGTTGGGTCCGACTTTACGCGTACCAGGTAAGCGCTGGTTCCGGAGACTTTGGGGGCCGCAAACCAATTGTTTTTTTGCCGTATGTCGTTTTGCTGCATCAGCCACCAGCCCAGCGTAAACACCAGCAGGTGTAACAAAAAGAACAACCCAATTTTAGAAAAACGAGATTGTCTGCGTAGCAGCGCGATGGAAAGAAAGGCCGTTGTTCCAACCAACAGCCAGGGGGAAAGTACAGCCGTTGGAGATAACCAGCAACGGTCGTAGCTGATGATGGCAACAACCAGCGGCGGCAATAACCGGAACACCGGCGCATATTGCCAGAAATAGGCTTTTGTAGGTGACCAGCCGGCCATGATCGTACTTGCAGAAGTGGTTGATTACAAGTACTGTATCAATAATTGTGCTATAGCGGAGCGGGTGCAGCATTGGCCGGGCCTTTCTGAATCCGCTGCCTGGCGGTTTGTACATAGGTACTGCCCGGATAGTCGATCACCAGCTGCTCATAAAACTTAAGGGCTGCTTCCGGTTTCTTCAGGTATTCGTCGTAGATAACGGCTGTTTTAAATAAAGCATCATCGGCCAGTACATCCTTATCATACTTCTCATAGACTTCTTTCAGGTAGGCGAGTGCGGTTGTGTAATCCCGCTTCTTTACGGCTATGTCCGAACGCAGCATCAGTATATCATCATTCAGTGTATGCTTGGGGAAGGCCTTTGCAACGCTATCCAATAGCCGGCTGGCGGCAGTATCCTTGTTCTGAAATAACAATAAATCGGCACGGGCATAAGCCAGCAGCGGGGCATAGTTGCTATCAGGTGTGTTTTCCGTGATCAGTACAGATAGTGAAAGCGCATCATTGGCAATCAGCTCGGAGGTCGATGCTTTTAAGACGGTGAGCTGCCCCTGCGCCCAGTCAAAATCACCGCGATAGTAGGCCAGCTTAGCATTCCGGAAACGGGCTTCCTCGCCCAGCATATCTTCACGGAATGCTTTATCTACCTGGCTGTAAGTAAGAGAGGCTTCCCATACCTTGCCGTCCAGGATC